CTCCCAAGATCTGTGCAAACCTGGACCACTACTCTGCAGAATCAGTACTTTTACTAGTGTTAATGGATTTTTATTTAACACAACAACAAAAAGGGATAACAGCTCACAATGGCAGTGCTAACATGACATTAAAGTTGGTTTACAACAAAATAAAAAATCTAAAACTAGAAGAGGGAAAGAAAAACACAAATGAATAGAGGTAGGTAAATAACTGCATATAACCTAAATTGGTACAAAGAACTGGTGGTTAGAATTATAGGCAGTATAGACTAAAAATAAGGAGGGCTCATGTCTGGCTGGTTACACCCCCCAGTATGTAAAGGCCTTTAAAGACAATTTATACAGTTAATATAGTAGTAGGCAGCTGGATTTTCTCTCTAATGTGGTCTAATAAGGTTTCAAGAGTACCTTTACTCCTGATACTTTAAGTAAATGTTGCTGATATTGCAGGACTTTCATATTGCTACAATGTGCTATGTATTAACCCTAGTTTCATAACTACTTTTACTTAAATAACACGTCTGAATACCTCTTACACTACTGCTTCAGGCCACACAAAATAATGTGGAAGACAAGAATAAACACATTCTGACACTAAATGGTATAAAGATGTGAATCAAATATAACTTTTATTACACTGCAAAAGCGTATGCAGATAAAAATTCCTCCAATCATCGGTCCATAAAACATGTTAAAGTATTTGTACTTCTCTGTTGTAGCCACTAGATGGCATCAGCAGACAAGTATATTTTAGTGTATGCTTCAAGAAGGAACCTGTGCCAGACACACAGTAGGTGGTAATATTGCCACTCAAATAACCAGGGAAGTAACAGGACCTTTGGACCAGACAGATAAGACCGACAAAATGCATCACGTCTCTTTTACGTTTGATAGTGACGACACATAATCCACACTCACTTCTTAGTCTCAACCTGACCTTCAGACTAAACAAAAATAATGGATAAGTGGACACGCTTTTGTTATTATTCAACTTCAGTCAGCACATATTTAATCATTCATTAGCATTTTATTAACTGAATATTAAACACTATTTTGACACATTTGTTTATAGTTGTTTGTAGCTGGCATTAGAAAGTTACACTGAAAAGACTTTCCATGAGTAAGAGTATAAAATATTATACAGGAAGGATAGCATGTTAGAAATGGATAAAATAACCCACCATAAGGTTCCTTTAAAAAAAAAAAAAAAATTTGAATATCTACAGTCTGCTGGTGAAGGTCATGTGATGTGATCAAAAGCAGATCAGCTATTAAACTAACCTCGTGAGATTTGTCTTCTAAACATGTTTTTAAGGTCAACAATGAACTTTGGACCTCATGTATTCTGGTCCTGGTCTAAGTCCTTTGAGATGCACTTTGATACACCACAGAGATGCTGACTCTTTGTTGTTTAACGTTACACACCTCTGTCATTACATTTATTTACATTGTTGTGTAGTCGTATTATTGATTTTGTCAGGTGGGACATTTGGTTTCAGTAATGTCTTTCTCGTCCTGTCCAGTAGGTGGCATGTGAAGACCTCAACATGATTCATAGAAATGACTGGAACAGCACAGACAATAGTCAGGCTTGCTGTAGAAGACTTTCAGTGGGGTTTTTTTTGGCGAATAAAAGTTTGTCTGAGTTCAGATAAATGGAGGGCAGACGGCAGCTTTTGGCTGATGCATCATTTTTCATTTCTTGGAGCTAGATACCTGCTATTGCTTAGAGACAGTTTTACTGCCACAGAATCACCTGATGTGGAGGAGATTTATTGCTTTTATCCGGTTGCTGATCTAAAACGAACGTACTGGTGGATATGAGTCGTTCTAGCATGAATCCCTACTATTTTGGTATATGTATTTGCCTCATATTAGCAGTAAGGTATCTACATATAAATCAAAAACATGTACGGATGATATGGAAACCTCTGAAGGTCAGAGTTGCTGTTTATGGAAAATGTTCCCCAACCTTTATACCAGCAGGTTTTTTTCCCCAGGCCTTCCAGTCGACTGTAGAGATAGAACAAGTGAGGGCTTCTCCTTGTGCTGTCTGCCATCCTGACTATTGTACCTCCAGAGTATTTGCATACTCATGTCCCAAATGATCCTACAGTGTCATATTTGCATATAGCACTGGACAGAATCCACCTCAGTTGAAGGTCTCCCTCTCAATGGCCGCTGGTTTTCTATGCTCTGTCACTGTGTGACGGTGGCAAAGGACGTCACCTTGTATTTATTGAAGTGCAACGCTCTTTGAAATTACATTTACTTGTTATCACACACAAAAAAATCAAGTGGCGTTTCTTGTTAGTAATAAAGCCCCTAATGGCTCTAAGACCTGGAGCACGATTGGCTGATTGCCTCTGTTGCTAGGCTACGGCTCCATGGTATGTCTCGGCAATACTGACAGTAACATCACATTCAGGAAGGAAATGGAAAAAAGATGGGCACAAGGAAAAATGCTATATAACATCATTTAATAATGGTACTCTATGGTGTAACCATAAAACATTTACAAAATATTCACAAGGTGATGCAGTCAGTTGACAACACATTTATTTCAATTATATATCTTCAAATAAAAAGTTTATACTCGGAGCGCATGGTTCAAATGCTGCTTTCACTTTGCAGTCTGGAGAGCAATCTATTATTTGTGACATCATACAATAATTCAAGACTAACTTCATTTACATATCCAAGAATCTGCAAACTAACAAGGGTTATATACAATATGTACAACAAAACACCTCAACATATAACCCATCAGACATGGTCTAAAATGACCAATAATTTCTCCCTGATTACCGCATACAAATACAATGCAACTTACTCTCATTTCTTAAAAATGTTATACATTTCTCAATCACAAATGGGTGATTTTCATAAAGATTTCCCACATGGTGACATGTTATGAAAATAGCTTATGTCATTTCAACAGGGCATACTCTAACCATCGTCCCAACTGTGTATCAGACATTTCTATTGCTATGTGATATATTGATTTAAGAGGTCTTCTGAATGTATGGAAGTGCCCTTTACACGTTGTAATATGAATGCAAGAAATCATTGTTGGTGAATGTTTGTACATGTTCCTATTTCTCTGGGTGGGAGTATGTGCTTCCCTCTTGTTAGCTTTTTGAGCTGGGATAGGAGGACAAAGTCTAGCGAGGAACAACAGACTCTTTCTTCTTTTTGGTCTTCAGAACAGAAAACTGGCTTTGACAAACTCCAGGAGGGAGAGGTGATGACTTGGTGGTCTGATGTTGACTCGAAGAACCCAAGGAAGAACACAGTCTATGTTTTGATAGTTTTTTTTAAGCAATCGTGAAAAACGACTGGAGGAGGAATCGGTTTGGGTTCAGAAGCCTCCACCTCCAGCTGTGCCTACATCCTTCACTGATATTTTTTTTGACATAGCACCAGACTTGGCACAGCTCCCACAACAACTGTCCATCATGCATAGGCCAGTGTACTGTATGTGGCAGGCCACGCTTGCATGGGGACGCAGGGAGGCTCCCCAAAGCAGATACCTCAGTCAGACTTAGCTCTCTGAACTCAAGGATCTATGCGGAAAGCTAAAAGCTTGTCAGAGTGATGGTTGTTCAGGGTGCGCAGGTCTGGCAGACGTAGCAGCAACTTTGGGAAGAGTGTGCTGTCATCTGGGCGGCGACTGGTGATGAGAGAGCGCAGCGCTTTTATTAGATTCTCCTGCAGCTGCTCCACTGCTCCCACTTCAACGATACCAGATCGATCTGGAGAAAAGGAGGAGAAATTTGGACGTTAGACTCAAGGAAATATGTGCATACAGTATCTGCTTATGTACATGCATGAGTTTGTGCTTGTGTACATGTATGTTTCAGTGTTGACTCTTACCAGCAGAAACAAGCACAACAGCCATGAAAAGAGCCATCTCGTCAGGCTCCAGACCCAAAGATCCAAGCTTCTCGCTGAATTCGAACATGGCGTCCAGTAAGGAGCCCATGCCGAGAGCCCTCAGTGATGCCAGTGAGTAGGTCTGCCCGTTGAGGAACGTCACTGTCCTCTCCTTAGGGTCAAACAGTGAGCAAAACCTCACCATCAGCACCTGTGAATAGAATCAGACCAGGTCAGCACCAGAATAGACTCCAAAAGGATAAGAAAGGAAGTAAAGAAAAATTACCACAATCCCACCCACAAATTTAACTGGACGTACCTGGAAAGTGCCAGATTTGAGCAGCATGACCTGATCATGCTGGCTAAGAGTCTGGAACCCCGGGATGCTCTTTGCGAACTCCACTACTTCTTTAACAGCAGGGGTGAAGCACTGGGAGAAAGACTCCCACACCTCCTGACTGGAGCGACTGGCCGGAGCCACGGGACACGAATTGAGTGGACATGCCTGCAGGAGAGACAGAGAGAAGAAATTAAAGGTGTGTTGTGGACTTTTTATGTACATTACATTGATTGCTATTCACATACTCAAAAAGAAAAAAAGAAAGTAAAGAGAAAAGTCTTACCAGCACTTTGGCTCCTCCGTTCAGCTTCCAAGGGCAAGGGCTTTGGTTCTGGGAATCCCTGGCTTGGTAACTGTTCTGATTGGAGGAGTAGGACTGAGATGACATGCTGCCACTGAAGGGGCACTGATTCTGATTGGAGGAGTAGGTGTACTTGGCGTTGTCAATGTTAGTGTTAGTGGAGTTTTCATTGTTGGTTGAGCCAACAGGGCAGTTTGTGGAGACATGGTAGCTTGTCAGGTTCACCTGCTCCCCCTGAACTGTGTGTTGAGTCTGGGTTGCTGAGTGCGACATGGAAGGTTCCTGTACTGAACTGTTCTGGAAAGACGAAGTGCCAATGTTGCTGTTGCCGGCGGCCATCTTGAGTGGTTTCTCGTCGTTCATCAAGTTGCCGCGGTAAGACTGCGATATGGAGCCCGCTCCTTCATTCGTCTGGTTCTGTGGACTGCACGGGGCATCAGGAGGAGGTGACACCTCCATTTCCATGGAAGCTGATTCGTTGAGACTGTTCATGTAGCTCTGCATCTCATCCAATAGTCTCTGCTTCTCCCGTTTGGGAATTCGCCCAAAACGCACAGCTGAGGACAAGAAGAGAGCATTCTCTGTTAGCATTTACTGGCATCAAGCATTGATTATCACTGCCAGCTCCTTACTGGCAGGCTCTGAATTAGTGCATTGAACAGCAAAAACACTCAGTTATTTTCACATTCAAACAATATAGAGAAATGACCACTTCTTGTCCTAATACAGATTTTACATCCGACACTCAAACGGTAATCTCTATGGGGATTACTAATCCTGAGACCTCTCTACAGTTCCTGACTATTCTGTGTCCATCACAGCTGTTTCACCACAATACAGACACTTAAGCCCTCATCTCATTTGAAAGCCTCATCCTCCTCTCCAGGCCTTTCCAATCCTCCCTTCCCCCTTTTCAATTCTGCACCTCCACTGACAGCCCTATTTATAGCGCGCTGTATGCTACACCACCTTCCCCCAGTCTCTCTCTGCTTTTCTGTCTTGTAGTTGAGCACTCGCTCTCTCTTCTTCTGTGGAAGTAGGTCACTGGGCTAACAGCGTTGAACATGATGTCATTAGCAAAGTGACAGACTGAGTGAAAAGTGGAAAGGTCAAAAAGACACGGGAGGCAGGTAGGAGAGGTGAAGAAATGTTTGAAGGTGGAAAAAAAATGTTGTTGATCAAAATTTTGTTTTGCGAGCAGGTATCATGTTGTCAAGCTGAAGCCATGACATCGAAGTGAAAAGTGGCTTTGTGGGTCTATAAATATGAGTTAGAAGCAATAAAAATTGTTTTATTTAATTTGTGTGAAAACATGTTAAATGTGGTTAATAATACCAAAGTTTTACTGTTGTGATCTGATGAATTAGCAGGTGACTTTTTTACTGCCGCATTTTGGCTTTTTTTGGGTCAGCTAAAAATGTTTGCTCCAGAAAAACCATGATTTATTATCACCTAGTTTAGCCGAATCCTGAGAGATCAGAGTCCTGCGGTGAAATAATGCAGTAGAGCAGATTAAATGTGTTAATATTATTTTAATTTAAAGTCAGGCACTGTAGGTATTTATTATTAATAGGACAGAATAACATTATGTCTCGTATGAATGTTTGTAAATGTCAGCGTTGAAAAAATAAATAGGTAAGACTGTACATCTTGGTGAACACTCTTGGTAATCAACAACTTTGTGCCCCAGTTTCCCAAAATAAACAATATTTGTCACAGTTTCTCCATGACTGATGACTACTGGGACTCTAGAGCTCCTCTCGCCATAAATCAGACAGCAGGGCAAGGGAGAGAGGAAGACAGAGGGGAACAAAAGACAAAAGGAGGGGAATGAGAGAGAAGAAGATGAAAAGAAAATGAAATTCTGTCACGAGAAGTGAGACCTGCGTGAGAACAATTTTTGTTTTTGTCTAACATCTGACTCTCCATGTGACCCTGCATCAATGAAATCTTCTCCTCTACACTGGGAAAACCAATATATTTCAGTTGTAGTTGCCATATGTCTAAATATCTTTTTTAAGGACATTAACAGTCTCTCACCATCTCTGGACATGCCCACGGAGAGACACTTCTTAAAGCGGCAGTGCTGGCACCGGTTTCGGTTCATGCGCATGATGAGACACTTTTCATTCTTTACACACATCTTGTAGTGGATATTCTGCTGTATGCTGCGTCTGAAGAACCCCTGGAGAGAGACAAGAAGAATAAAGAGTTAGAAGAGTGTTTTTTTGTGCCAATGTGTGTGCTTGTATCTACAAAGACATGACATAATGCTATCTTTGTTGGGGCTCACCTTGCAGCCTTCACAGGCGTGTACGCCGTAATGGAAACCAGATGCGATGTCCCCACACACCTTACACAGAAGCACCATACCTCCGGTTTCTATAAAAGAGGCACACATCCATCATCAGAGAGAGAAATACAATGACAAAGTGCTGGCTGGTTAACGTAGAGGAAAACAGGAAGGAGGGAAGTGAGTAGGTACTTACTGGTGAATGTGCCAGTGAAACCACAAGGTCTTTTGGCTACCGTGGGATGGTTGTAGGTTGCCGATGATACCGTTGTTATTTGGGCAACGGGAGCATTGTTTACTTCAGGAAACTGGAAGACCATTCGCGGGGAAGGAGTCCCTCCCCCTTGTTCCCCTCTCTGCTTCAGGGGCCCAATCTCCTGAAAGGAGACACCCTCTGGGGATGAAGGCTGCGAGTGGGAGGAGGGCGACTGGGTCTGGTATCCACTTGAAGGACTGCCAGGACTCGGACTGGCACTGCCGGACGAGCCAGCGTACAAGATAACACCACCTGGAGGAACAGACAGGGGCAAAAAACTCAGTTCACTGATCTTCATCTAGGTCGGTGTTCACATGTACAATGTGAGTGGGAGTGCAAGTATTGAGCAATGCTCTACTTTGATTCAGTGAGCTTACTTGGCGAATGTCCAAAAACACACAAAAAACCCTGATCATGTTGGGACAACAGAAATTTGATCTGATGAATAATTTAGAAAAAATGTCAAAGCTAGAACAACAACAACTCTGACCTGGATATCTGTAGAGAGTCTTTCGGTTTCTATTCTTTAGATAATCAAATTGAAAAAAAAGGCTTTGTCATGCAAACGGGCGTGTTTTGCTTTTACCTCAAAGTGATACTACCTTGGAAGCCTTATGTGAGTGTTATGTGAATAAATAATGCTAAATCCACAATGACCAGGTAAGATAAATACCATTATCTGTTGGTTAAACTAACACCCACACACGGGTTATTTAGCCATAAATAAATACAATACATACAATGTATGAGCAAAGGGTACTTCACATCACATAAACACCATAAAATGCTTATCAAAAGTCACTATACATTCACAATCAGTGCCATAAACAGGCTATAAACAGGCCTTTGTTTAGGGATGTCACATCAAGTCGGAAATGCCCTATTACCCCTCAGCACAGCACCCACCCGCCCCCCTTGTTTTGCAGACAGTGTTCTTCCCTGCAAGATGAAAGACTGCCCCTCACGTGCAGGCTGAGCCAGCCAGCTCCCTGCCTGCTTGCTTTCAGCACTGAGTCTTTCCTCCACTCCCTGCCTCCGCCCCCTCCCTTCTTCTCTATCCTCCTCCCCTCCTACCTCCTCTCTCCCTCCCTCCCTCTCCGTTTTGGCTGCGGGCCTGCAGACCCATCTATCCGCCAGCCACCTGACCGGGAGCTCACATGGACTCTTGACACAGTTCCCGCCCGGCTCACAAGGCTCTTTGCGCAGTCCCGTGTAGACAACAGCAGCAGTACAATAACAAGCGCTAGGGCTGATCACGTTTGGAATAGAGACGGCTTTAATGCTGTGACTACAGACGTAGACCTTAAGTCTTTGCATTCCACTAGAAACTGTACAGTCACGTTGTTGCCGGTCACTATTTTGACACATCAAAATAATTTGCCGGAGGGTTTTAGTTATTTCAAGTGAGCATTTTATTATGCTTTTATATCACCGGTATTTAAGGATGGTAAAATGCAAACCCACTGAAACTCATTTGCCCACTTTTATTGGCTGACAGAATTCTTCTAATTTACAAAACCATGATAATAAATAATAATAAAACAGGGATGAGAACCAAATCTCTATTATTACAGACATTCATGATTTCAAGAATTTATCTATGTCTGCTCCTTTTAGTGGTCCCCTTAATGATCCTCATCTTCAGTTCAGAGTTTGCCCTGCTTTATTTGATATTAGATCACTGTGTCAGGTGTCTAAATATCTTAAGAGCCTGCCAACTGAAATGTTTCCCATGTGCAGAAATAGCATGCTTCACATTCTTCATTCACAATCTGCGTCACTTGGCTCCTATGGTGATGATCATGATCGTGGGTCATTATCAGACAGATTAAACAACCCAGATCTGTAACACAGCTTTCATCAGATGCGTGCCCTTCTGCACAACAGGTCACTGTGTATCTTACTGTGGCAGTGTTATCTCAAGTATTGACAAAACCCTTGGATTGTCTTGCGTTTCCTCTAAAGGACCTTGAATCATCTGAGAAAAAGCCTTGGTCTCTTGTGCTTTCTCTCCTTGAGAAAACACGTGCTGCGTTTCTGTTTAGCTCTAAGTGCCTCCTTAATTCCACTGCTCACACGTGTCAACACTGAATGCAAGGTACCCTGGTGGCCTGACGGCATGTAGTGGCAGGTCCGGTATCAGACTGTGACTTTATGTGCCTGTGCATGTTTCCTGTTTGTTTGTGTGAGAAAGATAAAGCTTTATGGACATGTGTATCACCTGCAAAGGACAGGGTTACACCCTACTGTCACACAAACGCCAAACCCACTTTAAACATTCACAATCTCCACCCGCCCGGAGTAAAAACATTTTATTTTCTTCCTCCCTGTAACCATTTCCTGGAATCTGGTTTGACTGGATGCCAGAACGAGCTCTGGGAAGATCATCCCTGCTGTACTCAGGCACAAGCTGAAACATGTGACCTGTGTATACACACAGAGCCATAAGAACGACAGAATAAACAAAACTCTCCACCACCCTCTCCTTTTGCCATTCCTCCATGACCTCCCCTCTCATGTAGTCCCACCCCTGGGCATGCACACATGCATGCATGGCAGGCAGACTGTATAGGCATCGTGCTCATATCATGTCCGGGGCAGGGAAGGGGGGTGGGGGGGAGACGCCTCCCCCCTCTTAACTCCAACTAGTGTGTCCACTTACATTCACAACTGTGCATGGGCAGTAAGCCTCGCTCCACGTGAAACAGCTGGCCTCATGTCATGTGTCTATGAAGCACTATGAAGGAGGATGGTTCTATGAAGGCACGAGGGCAAAATTTGCTTTATGTGACATGAACCCAGAGTTATTTTTTATTGCTGGATAAAGAAACATTGCATGCAATCATTGTTTCCGTTTGAACTTGTGTTTAAGGAGGTCTGTAGCTCAAAAGTTTAAAGAGGTCTTACGTAATACGTAATAGACTAGAAGTAGAAGGTTATATACTCAATCCATGAGAAATACTATCTGTCACCCGAATCAAGCTTGGCTTTTAATGTGAATTAGCTAGTTGCGTGATCGTCTGTCAAGCTGACAGCTACAGGGAATCTGGTTTCATGACTGGCACCAGAGCTCAGCATTAAGTTTATTGTTCCTGTTAGCAAGTATGACACCTGTGAAGCATCCATCCTTGACAATCTTTCAAAAACTACGCTATAGTCACGTTACCACAAGGTCACGCCCATCATCCCTTTTGCAGACACAGAGATATACTTAGAATTATTATACTTTATGGTAATTACAGTTTAATCTTGAACCTATAAAGTTGGAGGGAGAGCCTACTTTTGCCAGAATGCCTTGCAATATCCTAAAGTGGATTCATATTGATTTTACTCACTGACTGATGATTCCAGTATGTACTGGTGACTTTTTAATGCATTTATCTTTTATTTGACTGCTATAAAACTAACACAGTTTGTAGAAAAGAGACAACAATTAGGGCCTATTCTATGAATCATGTCACATGAGGACTACTAGCAGTCTACAAAAACAGCCTAGTCATAATATTCCACATTAATACTGAATTAAAACAGCTTTATCTATGATAAACTGAATTCATCTGTGTATGTTGTCAACTTGTACCGACGTGTATTTTGTGAACAATGCTATTGCTCAACACCTGCTTTACAAATGCTTTATTTAGGGCATTGAAAGGTGTTGCAACTACACCACCACTGACATAAATGCTGGTGCGTATGCAAGGTAAAAACAGGAACTGGTTCGCCATGTCACCTAAAACCCAGGTTGAATGTAGGTTAATATGTCATTTCAGACACCAAACACTCACAGTCGACTTTAATATGACACTCCGCGATCACTATTCAACATTTCACAGCAGTTATAGTAACAGGGACGAAGGAAAGGGCTGCTAAAGCTCTCTGACCCACTGACCAAGCTATCAGGAGGAATCCCCGTGCAGGCTGAGCGCGAGCAGAGTGCGCGCGGCGGAGAGGGGCGGGTGCTTGGGAATCGAGAGCGGCACGTGGACACTGGTGCTGAATACACGTGCTGTCAGCTCGAGGCGGGGTAACTGCGTATTAAAAATCAGGCGCATGATTCCCAACATTATCACGACTGTTTCTACCCAGGGTGCACCGGGCTTTGAGCGGATGAGAAGAAATGACAGTCATAATGGTCACCCGCTGTTCAAGGACGTTATAATAATGTCTGCCTGCTGTCCAACCTATTATCACTGCTTCGTTAATCCGTTTTATCTCGCGGTACATGTCCACTTTACAGCTTGCGATCATATTGCATCCTATTCATTGTAGAATCGACCTGTATTTTAGCGCTCATATATTTCTATTAGCATTTTATTGGCGGTTCAGTTTGTATAAGTTCCACTATAGGATAAAATACTGCCTGACTAATCCCATTACAATATTTAATCTATGAAATATTTGAGTTACCGGGAAATGGTTTCAATCTGATATCGACTGGTTTTTATTAGATGTGATGTGCGCTCGGTTTATTCATCATCAGCTCCCCATTGAAACACATTTAGATCATGATTCAGGTCCGAGCAGATCTGGAGCTTTACTCCCAGCTCTGCTACGGATGGAGAAAGAAAAGAAAAAAAATTGGCACAGGTTGTTTTGACTCATCGGGGTTGACTGCTCCTTGACATAGCCCACTCACACGTGTTATAGAGGGGGAAGCTATCACAAAGCAGCCAAGTTAATGACTCACACGTTGCAACAAAGTAGTAATTCGCTCTCATAAATGCGTCAGTCGGTATTTGTTCGACGAGTTAGAAACTTCATCCAAAACTACAGCACCCAGCTGGGGCGTGTGTGTGTGTGTGTGTGTGTGATTCACTTTATCTGACAACATGAGAATAAAGACAATAATGTTCAGATAAGCGAGATGGGCGGCGACAGAGAACGTGCCCGGTGTCAGGGTCGCGCTTCACGTGAGTTTGTTTACATGCAGAGAATCGGAAATCCGCCGCAAAGACTGACGAGAGAGGACTTCCCTCTCCGTCCTCGGCTCTCTCAAAACTCAACTGTCTACATCCCAGAAGCAGCTGGCAACGTGCCACACGTTACACAGCCGAGACACAGTTCAAAACGTGTAACATTCCCACTGAAAGTAGAGTGTAGTATCCCCGAGAGAGTGACTGCAAGTGAGAGTCCCCAAAGCTGCACATTGGGTCTGAAAATACAGCAAAACTGTATAGCTGATACATGTGGTCTTGTCTACTGTTAGGTGCATTAAACACAGCTTTAAATGAACACACAGTGGACGGGATAAAACAACAAATGAACCAATGCATACCCGCTTTGTCTATGTATATAACATGGACAGAGCTAAGAAATCATCCTCAGAATTCACCTTTAACATTTCTATCTCAGAATAAGTCTTAATATGTAGGCTACGAGAAGTGCAAAGGCATCTGCCCCCATGATGCACCGTTGCCTGTTTCTTTTAAATGAATCAAACACTTTTTCAATGCATTAGAGCTAAAAATAAAATTAAAAACACACATCCAGTAGAGTATGAAGCTGAACTTACCACCAGGGCTGTTGTCCATGTTTGCCAGTAGGTCGATGTTGCTGTTCAGTTGTTCCGTGTTGTTTAATATCGGACGTTTAATGCTGGACTGACTGCCTTTGCTTGCTGCCGAGGAGTTTGGTCGATATAGGTGAAAGAGTCATGAACTGCCAAGGCATAGAGAGTGTATCCAAAAGCTCAGACGAACAGCACTGTGCGCAGGGCATTGGGGGGGTTCTCGCAAAAAAAAACCCGGTCAGCGAAGAGAAACAAGTTAAAGAGAAATATTCTTTAAAAGGAAATGAAAAGAGTATCTCTCTCTCGGTCTCTGTCTGTCTCGTTGATCCAAATAACTTCCAAGGTGAGCTGATGCACAGGTTGAGTCGGCTCTCCGGCGGCGCACACTAATGCTGGACTGTGGTGAGACAGTACTGTAGAGGGCTTCTCTAAATGACAGAGTTCCCAAAGCGTTCAGCTGCTTGCCATGTACAGTCACCGTTCAAACACGGCCAGAGTGTGGAAGTAGTTTAAACACTCCCCCACTCATCAATAAGCAACACGGGTCCTAAAATAACCAGCACGTTTTCAGGTGCCTGAGAAATGTGACCAGTTTTTTTTTTTCTCTCTCTCTCTCTGTTCTCTTTTTGTGTGTCCCGTCAACCGCCTGTTTGCTGATGTGTATCAGTGATGTCTCTCTCTCTCTCTCTCTCTCTCTCTGTCACGCTCTCTGAAAACACCCCCACCCCTCCTGCGCTCGTGCCCCCACTCTTTACTCTTTCTCACTCTGTCATTGGCCGAGAGCCGCGCGTGGAGACGGCACATTGGGCTCGTTCGACATTGGAATGCTGCTTAAAGCTCTACAGCATGTGCGCATGGCATGTGAGCTCGCGCTGCCCTACTGACACACATTTTATGTTAATGAGCCGCTGGGCTCTGCGATAAGGAAACGAGGAAACGAGGGGGAGGAGAGAGAGGGCGGAGAGAGGGGGAGGTCTCACTCCTGCCTCGTCTCCCGTCGTCGTCTCTTTACAGGGGATCGGCCGAGGCTTTGCCTTTGTGCTGGGAGGCACGTTGTTGTGCAAGCACCGCAGAGGTGATGAGTCCATTTCTCTCTTTTAAATACTGTCAATGGGAGTGATCCGTGGTGGGAGCTTTCAGATTGTAGACACGTGTAATGGAGGCTAAACTAAAGCCACTAGTCACTCGGTTTTATAGCCTATGTTTTATTTATTTATTAATATTTTAAATTAAAGACAGCCTTTTATTAATGTGTCTACTTATCCTATCACAGCACATTTGTCTGCTGCTTTAACATTTACATTTGCCTTTTCATTTAGGCCTTTCACTTAGGAATACAACATGCAGGTGTTTGTCATAATAATGTTAATATACTAAGTACATATAGTGAGATTGCTGAGTTGTTTTTATTTTATATTAAAATAAAGGTAGTTCATCATTTAAGATAGGAGAAGATAAGATCGAGCTTCAAGGAGACACATTCGGCATTACAACCACACAAGAAGCAGGTCAGAGGGAGTTGGGAACATGATAGAATAAAGTTGTAGCTAAGTTGAACAAATCTGAACAAATAACAGGTGAATCAAAGTTAGACAGCCATATACAATGCGTCATCTAAAGCCAGTTTACACTAATGAAATGTATATAACCTATAACTGAAGGGTGGAAAGACACTTTGACACAATGACCTCAAATTGTAGTGTTTTTTTGTTTGTTTTTGTTTTTCTTCCTTTTCAGCATAATTATTTCATATCTGGAACACTTTTTATCTGTTCTGTTCTTAGTTTATCTTCCAAATGAGAAAAAACAAGACATTGCCCTACAATGTGAGGCAACTTACTGTGTCAAAGCCTGTCCACGTGCCTTCCTGCGCACCAACGCTGCGGGAGCAGAGCGCATGCGCGACGGCTAACGCCCACGTTCTCAACCCGGAAACTGGTGCAGTGTTTGACCACCGAGCGGCTGTCTTTTTCCAACATAGACGATCTTTGTGTGAAAGAGCTGGCACGTGGGGACAGGGCGGTGCTCACCGTGACTCCCACCGTGCCTCCTCCTCTCCGTCACGTTTCCTTTTCTCTCTCCACAGATTGTGTTTGCTAAAAGCCAAAATAACGCCGGAGATTGGCTGGGACAGAGTACATGTAGGTCAGGAGCTGCTTGTGCAAACATGAGCATCGTAAAATGTGCCCAAAACCGCGGCGTCCTCACAAAAAGCACTCAAAGACCGCCTGTTGCGGGCAGGCACATCGAGGACTGAATGTAGGTCACGTAGCTCACTCCAGGGGGTTGGTGGGATGTTATTATTCACAACATTTCACTTATTCTCGATAGGTGAGCTGAATGGAAAGTCTTCACTGCAGCCTTCAACTTGTAGGGAAATAGGCTATGAGGTCACAGTGTGTTTGATCTAAAACTCATCACCTGCTCTGGGTTTCTATGTCATCTGCTAGTATCTGTTTCATTGGACCTTTAACTAAGTTCTTTTTACATTTTCATTGAAACATTTCTCCATATTTGGACTCTCTATTAGCCTATTAGAGTATCATACAGTCCACAATATATCTCCTAACCAGCAAGAGAAATGAAAATCTTTGCATGTCAGAGGATAGCCATGTTAACAACTACAGTGAAGGTTTTCAGCATGGTAAAAATGTAGAAATAATCACAGAGGACACACACTGTTGGCTTTATCACCATGGATGTGTTGTACCAAATCTCCAAAAAGACACTGCAGTCAAAGGCTGGATTACAAAGCCTCTGAAAGGGATACGATTCGCACCAGAGGCCATTGTGAAACAACACAACACTAAGCAGTGTTGAAGAGATGGTGTAAACAACATCGTCAACCTCTGATTAATGTTGGTCACATGCACTCACATATGTATTACATCAACCAGGGCCGACAACTAAAAGGTGCATTGGCTGTACACAATATGATGGTGAATGGTAGGCCAATGAGATTATGAGACCAAGCTGACATTCACGCCAGATATTTGGGTGAGCTGTTTCTAAAAGACAAACAGGAGCAGTGCAACACATGGGGACGTCAGTCTGGAATATATTTAGTGAGATCTCTGCAGATGACTGGCCTTGTTTTGTCATGTCTAAAATCATATCAGATTAGGGTTCTTCCAAAGACATTTTAACCTGCGCTGAAGCAACATGTTGGTGATTTTATTTTTGTTATACAAGATAGAAAATAAAAGTCAAACCATTTTAAAACTTTTACTCATCCCCTTTTGAAAAAGAAAAACATCTTGTATTTCAATTTTCCGAAGAAAATTGTTAACAATACCCTGACTCTGCACAAATAGTGTAGGCCTACTAATGAGTGAAATTTAGGCCAAGAATTCAGTTTAGCATCAGCTTTCCAACATCCAGCATTCCCACGTGCAATTTCTAGTTTAGTTCTTGGGTGTGAATCTTGGAAGCTGGAATGCTTTAATGAATTAATAAATAAATTGATGGATACATCTGCAGACCCCCCTGTAAACCATACAGGAGGCCCTGGATCCCTCTTTCAACTCAAAACATAATTTTGAACATAAAAAACCTACAGTAGATGTATAAAGTAATTACACAGCACCTCCCTGTGGTTAAAATGAACTGTGCAGTTCACTTTTGGTGGGTTAGACCAGGGGGCAACGAACTGATTTATGCAAAGGTGGCACGAAGTAAATGTTTCAGCTTTGTAAAGTGTATGCAATTCCAACACTATTCAGGGACCCCAGAATGCAGAAATATTCTAATATACTGGACAAAAGTATCATATCACAACAGCTGCATGAAATTAGCATAAAGTAGGCATGTCTGCAAAGGGGTGACTTGTGGGTAACTATAACACCTATTTTTATTCAAATATCTTGAGGTCAGAGGTCAAGAGTTCCCTTTGAAAATGTCAGTTTTTCCGTTGCCAAAATTTAGCCTAACTTTGGAGCGTTATTTAGTCCCCTTTCCAACATGCTAGCACGGCATGGTTGATAACAATGGATGCATCTAGTTTCAGGTGATACCAGTATTTTTACTCTGAGCTTTAAAATACATCCTGCTACAGCCTCTGAAAGACTGGAAGAGGTAAAGATAATGGGGTGGTACTTGGGGTGGCCAATCAGATTTCAGGGGTGGCCCCTCTCTGAAGACACCCCTGCACTCGTGAAATATTTGATAACAAAATAATGTAAAAATTAATTAAAATAAAAAAACATTTAAATGAGGTAATGGAACTAAATTAAATTGAAATTAAAGGTTAATTCTTATCTGTTTGTATTGTTTGTATACTGCATATTGTATGGCTGTCACAAAATCCCACGGCACACCTGGACTTGACTCCCGGCATAACAGTGTGCCACGGCACATTGTTTAGGGACCACTGACTAAGAGAGATGTGTCTATTGTTGTTGGCATTGTACCCAACAAAGAATCAGGTCATCTGGAAATGAAGAGTTATTTGGGGCATGTAGTCAGTGCTGTTAACTTTAGACACTGTATTGTAGCATATAATGAAAATGTGTCAAAGCTGTTCATGAAAAATAGCCGTGTTTATTTATTTATTTTTATAAAAGTATGCTTGTTTGGCAGAAATATAGTTCATCTGTTGAGGTTTAGGGGTCACCTCATTATGCCATCATCTTTACTTTCAAATATTTGGCTACAATAATGCCAGAACAAGAGACATCCACTTCTTCCTGATCCCAGTCAGAGTTATGGTTCTAAAATGCAGGACTATTTATCTTCCACAAGGTGGCAGTGCTTGTATAGGCAATGGTTTGTGAGAATTGGGCATATTTTCAGTTGTAAGGTTTCCAAGTCTTCACAAAGTATATATATATAAGGTCTTATTACTGGTCTTACTGCTCCAAGTGACACCTGGGACAATGAGTACAGCTCCGCCTATCATCCATCGCCTTACAACTCCCCCACGACATACTCAATATTGATGGTTACACTAAAAGCATATTCAGTTTCTAGTGTAGCGTACTATTTATTTAGTGGAAATGTAATATCGGCAGCTTTCTTTATCAC